CCCCAGGAGCTTCGTGAGTGGTTTGCTCAGCGTGGGGCGTCTGGGGGTAGTGTTCGCTGCCAGTACGTCATTCGCACAGGTGACCGCACTGGTCAGACATGCGGGAAGGTTGGTCACACACAGTCCCGCTGCTTCTCCCGTCTTGACGACGCCTTTCGCGCAGAGTTTCCCGGCGCGACTGAGCTCCCCCGCTGGGCAGAGCTGCTTAGGCAGGGTGTTGATATCTTTGCTCTTGACTATGATGCTATCCTTGCTGCCATGTATGCATTGACTGTTAGTGCTGGGGGTAGCGCGACACGGGCAGCGAGCTATACGGTGGGCCCTAAAAAAAACGGTCCTAGGAGGACCTGCTCTGATACCATGTCAGCAGAATAAACGAGAATGGATGAAACTAACAGCATGCAGGAGTACAATTAACAAACCTTAATTGGGTTGTACCCCATATGAGCTACCCCACTACAGCCTACACAACATGATAGTTTGACAACGTCAGCCTGTTTCGCCCGTACATTCCGACCAGCCAACTGCCACGACATCGCCCGCCGTCAATGACTCGCCCGGCATCGGAGCCGATCATCGAGCCCGAAAAGTTTCTGAGCCATCGGATTCGTCATCCCACCGGTATCAAGAGGATCGAGTTCCTCGTTCGCTGGAAGGACCGCACACCAACTGAAGATAGCTGGGTGCCCCTGGCCACCATCGAAAACCACCCTGCCCTACAAGTGTACTTGAGGAGCCGGGGTTTCCGCGATATACACGCATTCGCGTAGCGGAGGGGGCTTCTTGAGGGGGGGGGGGGGGGGGGTAGTGGAAATAAATTTCTTCATTCCTTACCGCGTTCTTCAACATCGCGTACAGCAGCAGCCGTTGTTCGCCCGTTACTGCTAACGGGGCTTCGCCAACTTCGCGCGCACTGTTTTACCAAACCTTTGTCAAACATAGTAGCTTAGGGTTTTGGGGGGCTAGAAGTTAGGAACGAGAGGGTTGGCCAAAGAGAAGAGGGTTGAACTATAGAATGGGAGTACAAGATATAAGAGAGGGGAGGTGGTGAAGGGAGGTAGACCACCTAAAGACAAGATAGGGTGATACTACACTAACTAGCAATGCATGTAATTATATAAGAATGTTATATTCCGACAACCTTGCACTGCTGGCCTGGCCGAGTCGGCCCACGCTTCGGGACTAGCCCGAACCTCGATGCCAGCCTAGCACTAACTAGCTCGCACGCACCACGTAACCGTTGAATGTTTCGCACATAAGTATTCGCTCATACCTTCGCTCATACTTTGTACTCGTTTGACACCTAGTGTAATCCTCGCTAGTTCGATTCATTGCACCCGTAACACTTGCCTTGTTATGCCCTTTTTTTTGTGCTCTATGTATGTCGGTACACTAGAAATGTACCTTCGGCATCTGTCGAATGACCTCGCTGGGCTACTTCGGTTTGGTTGACTCCAACGAGCAGGTGCCAACAGTACCCTGTGCTTCATCTGGTACCCGGTAGCGCCAGGGTTAGAGTTTCGGATTTGTTCACTCACACTGGATCCTGTACAACTTCCCGAGCATAAATATACTACAAGAACTGCAGCCCGTCAAATAGAGATCCAATCTGGCAAGAGTAGCAAGTGAAGTGTGGAGCTGAACTGGACGACGGAGCGCGCCAGGCCGAATCTCCTTCCCAGGTCTTAGTAGTAATCTGTTCGTGATACCGTGACTTTCCTCTCGACCCTGCAACGGCAGGTATGGCGAACGGCTCCCGGCTGTCGTCGCTCTGGTTAGTCGCGAAACGGGCCTTCGGAGTGTCTCTTCTGGCGACTATGGCGTTCGCGATCCTGCTAGTTTGGGTGTACAATTTTTCGTCCGGCTCGAGTCCAGATGTCGCAGCCCTCCGCGATTGGTTAGATTCGTGCGTGGGAGTTGGCCTCGCGTATAAGGGAAGGCATAGCATGCCATTTTTCCGCGATATTGCGTGCTCCGATTTGGTAAATGCAGCTGCCATACGCGGCAAAGCAGGCTTCGACAATGGAAACGAAAGTCACTACCGTCACATGGCGACTGGAGGTTGGCGCGGAAGCACCAGCAGCAGCAGCAGCAGCGAAGTAATGATTAATTTAGGAGCAGATTTAGGAGCGGAAAATCTGGGGAGAGATGGCTGCAAAGTGCTTTATCATTCCAGCGTTGACCCTTGGGATTTGAAGCCCACCTCTTCATTTACCCACTCCGGGTGCCAGATCGAATGGATAACTTTCTCCACCCGTTGCGCAAAAGGCGTTCAACGCTTAGCTAAGTTTTGCGATTTGGTGGGAGTTCCGTTTGCGGTGCTTGGTCTGAACGAAACCTGGAAGGGACAAGGCGGGCGGGTGAGATACAATCGGGAGTATTTGAGAACACTCCCGCGTGATCGCATCGTGATTGCAACAGATGTGGACGACGTCTTGTTGCTGCCTAATCGTGAGCTATGCGCACCAGATCAACTCATTAAAGCGTTCCTTTCTATTAACGCTCCTGTCGTTTTCGGAGCCGAGATTTTTGCGTATCCAACCGCCGATGCAATGCCGTTTTACTCTCCAAAGTTCAAGTTCCCGCCTTTTCCGAATCTGTACCTTAACGCAGGGGTTTATGTCGGGTACGCGTGGGCTTTATCTGAGATGATAGATGCGACGTACACGAGTGACTGTATGGAGGACCAGCGACAGTTTGTTGCTGGTTATTTGGCCCAACCGTACCTCTTCAACTCCTTCCCACGGACGCCTTACCCTGAGGCAAATTTCGCTTCGATACAGTCACTTCTTTCCCAATCAACAGCAGCTGATGCAGTCACTTCTTACCCAACAAGTTACACCAATGATGCAAATAGAAAACTACATATCGCCTCCTCCCCCCTCACACCTGCTCCTGGCACTCTGAAATACCTCTGTGCTCTACCCGGCCCGCTACAAGACCTGATCCCAGAGGATGTTACTCCGGAGAAGCTAGAGGCAGCCAGGCAGGCAGCGCCGCCGCCGTTCATCAAGCTGGACCGCTACAACGCTCTGATGGAGATGCTGGGAGGGCGGGGATTCGAGCAGTTTGAAGTGCAGGGCTCGGGGACGGAGATCAAGGTGTTCTCAAGATTTACTAAAGCGTATGCGTGTATTTTTCACCAAGCTGGTGATAAGCTGAAGACAGGGGTGGTGTATGAGATAGTAGAAAATGGGACCCTGGATGCCATTGCGTTTGAAGGGATGGATTAGAAGCTTTGGTGGGCTTTCGGGTGAAGCTGTGTTAGTGACTCTGCTGCTGGTAGGTAGCTCGTGGTATCAAGGAAATTCATGGAATTATTAAGAACCTGACGCAACTCGGTCGTTTAATTTCAGTAGCATACGGTACCGTATATTTCAGTTCTGTACTCCCTAACGCGCGGTTGGTCAAAACTGCTCTTCGTTTGGTTTTGCAACAGCTACAATTGTTGAAACTTGTTCGATCCAGACAGCCTCCATTGCAGTGTGGAGAGAACAGTAACCCTGGAAACAGACAAACACGCTGGCCCATCTTTGTTCTTTGCATTGAATCACCATTGCATTAAAGTATTCCAACAATACTTTGTTCATTCCCTCTTTGCCCGCCTGCTCTTCACTGCCCCATTCATCCCCCCACTACCACCACCGACACCACTACCCGCAGCTGAATACGCAGCTGCCATAACTGCATTAATCTGCCCCCAGCAGCGGCAGAGGATGGCAAAGGGGACCACAATCCAGATTGCGTTCATTGCAATGAAGTAACCCCAGAAGTAGATTGGGTCCGGATGGCAGTGCTTGGAACCTTCCAGGAAGCTTGTCGCGAAGTACCGTCATCACCCGGATATAAGACAGTGTTGAATAGTAGACAGGGGTTGTCTACTATACGGGTGTCTCTTATAAACAGGCTAGCCTCATTATAAAACACCTATTTGTGTGTACGAGATAAGACATATATGTCTTATAATCGAAACTTCAATAAATTATAGCGAAAGTTGAAATACCGCGTACATTTTTACCCTTGCGAAGCGCGAATTCTTCCACGCGCTGACCCAGGACCTACCAAATTTGCCCCTGCAGGTGTTCTCCATAACGTGGCGTCCCGGGCAGAGGTTGTCGAAGTGGCACCTTCGCAGCATCCACACTCATTATGAGAAACTCTTTTTCAAGAAGTACGGAAAATATTTCTAAGTAGTTTAAAAAGTTTCCATTTATAAGACTTATAAGACACCCCAAACCATCCCGTTTACAAGATAACTCAAGCATTTTTGCCCGTGTACGAGATAAGACATATATGTCTTATATCCGGGCGATGACGGTAGATGACGTCGCCGTACAGCTGGCCGAGGGAGACGGCGAACTGGAGGAGCGGAGAGAAGGGCCGCCGCGATGCCATGCCGTACCTGTGAGTGAGTGGGTGGATGGGGTTGAGGGATCGGGGTTTAAATGGGAACGAAGGGCCGTCGCAATGCCATGGCGTTCCTGTGAGAGTTTTTGTGAAATGTAGGGGATAGGAGGTGAAAAGAAAGAGCCAAGGAGCGCTGCCGAGATGTCATGGCGGCATACCTGTGAAGTAATTGTAGGTTTGGGGGAATTGGGGGATCAGGAAATAACAAAGCAAATTCTTCCACCAAGCTTGTGAGGAGGTTCTGTTTCGTGCCATGGTTGTTTAACTTTTGAGATTTCTCAGAAATGAGATGAGGGTATGCTCCGTGCCATGAGCGCAGGAGAGTGTGAAGAGGGAAAGTGGGGGATAATAGGAAGGGTGGTATGAGAGGAGGGACGGGAGGGTGGAAGGGAGGAAGGACGGTATTCCGAAAATGGAGGATGGAAGGGAGGAGGAAAGGAAGGAGGGAATGAGGAAGGAAGGGAGGATTTAAGCAGGGAAGTGGACAGGACCTTGAACTGCTTACTGGATGAGGCTCACAGCATAAGGTTCACAGCACAGGGCTCACAGAACACAGCTCACAGAACAGGGCTCACAGAACAAGTGTCACTCACAGGATGAGGAAGCAAGCGGGCCCTTCAATGAACGCAGTGACCGCCTCAACAGAGAGCACACAGCCATCTCGCGTGGCATAGCGCGAGTCGGCCTTGCTGTACTCCTTCCCTGCGAGGGGGGAGGCGAGAGAGGGACAGGTGTGTGAAGGTAAGACGAAGCAAGAGGGGCAGGAAGCAGCATAAGGCGGGGAAGAACGCGAACGTGCACATCCATCTCGTGTGGCATAGCAAGAGCCAGCCTTGCTGTACTCCTTCCCTGCGAGGGGTGATAAGGAACGGTGAGAAGGAAAGGGGACGAGGTAAAAGAGGGTAGCAACAAGGTAAGGCTGGGGGCAAAGAGAAAGCACACATGTACATCTCGACTTCTCAGCGTGCTTGAACCCCATCTTGCAGAAAAGCTTTGCCGGTGCTGCATATGAAGGTCCCTGCACGCAACAAACGTCCTTACAGCAAGAGCAATCGTAAACCCCAGACCACAATTACATGCGACTACCAGAAGGTACGTACACACGTCTAGCAGGAACGTGTTGCCGGTGCTGCTCATGAGGTTCGGGAACCCAACGAACGTGCTTCCCAGCACCACGTGGGCTGCACCCCTTGCCCCGTGCTTCATCCCGAGCATCAAGGCCATCCCAAGGTCATTCTCTTCACCCCAGGAGCATTCTCTAACCCCACACGTACACGCGTCTAGTAGAAAGGCGTTGCCGGTGCTGCTCATGAGGTCCGGGAATGCAACGAGCGTGCCATTCAGCAGCTTGTGGACTGCATGCACTCCTTGCCTACTGCACCAATGGAAGCACCACCGCCACCCCAAGAACAATCCTGAACCCCACACGTACACGCGTCTAGTAGAAAAGCGTTGCTGGTGCTGCTCATGAGGTCCGGGAACGCAACGAACGTGCCTTCCAGCACCAGATGAATCGTCCCCGTCACGGCCCACCAGCAGAAGATGGCCCTATCCAGAGCCGACATGTGGCGGCACGATCCTGATTGGCGGGGGGAGGAATGACAAGGTGCGGGGGGAAAGAGGGAGAAGATGGCCCCGTCACGACCCACCAGGAGATGATGAACCCATTAATCGCCAACAGCCCGACACGTCGCGGCAGGAGTCTGACGGCGGGTGTTGGGCTTTCGGTGGGAGTTGAACGGTGGGGAGTGGAGGTCGGAATACGAGAAACGTAAGAAATGGACGTAGTCTCGGCAATGGCGGAAACGAGAGTGTTTTGAGTCGACTCGAAAGCCAATCTGAGAGACGTAAGGGATGGACGAAGTTTCAGCAATGGCGGAAACGAGAGTCGTCAGGAATGTGTTCAGCAGCATGATCCGTCGTATCATGTTTCGCAGGATTCGCATAGCATGGATGTCACGAATCGCAGGAATGCCACGAATCGCAATCGCACGAATCGCAGGGTTGTCGCATGCATTCGCGCGGTAAGTCACAGCGACGAAGCGCTTGCTTGTCTTACACCAAATCTGCATGTCAAAGCGAACCTACGGGTAACCGAGTAGCGACGGACCTGACGAGTAAGAGTGGATCGGCAACAGAGTAAACCTCCAGGCAACAGGGGGTACTAAAAGTGGACCTATCATGGGTGAAGAGTCACGAGGCGCGATCATTGATCGAGGCGTCATTGAGGCAGTTTCCGCGTCATTGCGTCAAGGAACACAGCCGCTTCGAAAACTGCTCTAATGACGCTCATTGCGACTTACGGGTGAAGAGCCACGAGACGACGATCACGAGAACAACGGCCGCTCCGAAGACACCGAAGAGCGCTTCGCCTTTCCTGGAAGCTTCTCTCCATTCCCGCGGCGGCAACCAATGATGGTTGCCGCCACTCGCTGCTGCCGTTGTGTTGCTGCTGCTGCTGGTGTTGGTGGTTTGAATGATGATGCGACTTTTAAGATTTGACACTATGGCACAAACCACCAGCTTCTGGGTTCATGCTTTATGCGAGATCGGTGCTGGACTGGTTCCCAGCCATGGCATGGCAGCAAAGCACCATATTTTCTATTAGTTTTTTTAAGGTGGCACCTTTTTCTGCATCCCTCTCTCGCCCTCTCTCCCTTGCCAGGTTCGGGCTGAACAGCAGGGTGCAACAGCAGGCAACTCAGGATTAGCCAGCATGGCAGATCGTCGGCAATTTCTGGATCAGAGGCGGGGAAAGAGGCGTGCGCGAGCCGGGGTTCTACCATCGCGACAAATCGGATTTGTAGGCTGCAGTCTCGCGCAATTTGTGTCGGATGAAATAGCGACGCTCTTCGTCGTGCGACGGAAGACCCGCCTTTCCTGGAAGCTTCTTGCAGCTTCTGCTGCCGGTAGAAGCAGTAGCAGTGCACGCGTGGAGGATGACGTGGCAGGTCACTGACGTGGCAGTGCATGCCACGGCGCTGTGCCCAGGCCAGCAAGACAACCTTTGCGAATGGTTACGATTCAACCGCGGCTGCGTCGATCCAGGTGGTAGAGTGTGTCCCGCCCAATCACTCTCACCCTTCTTGTACTTTATCTGACGGTTAGAATCCGTTCGCGCGAGATTGAGGCTTGACTGTGCACAAACAGTTGAAAACTTACTCTACGGCGCGATACATGTGCCCGTCTCAAGCATTGTCGAGTCCTTCAATCCAGTGCGTGGTGGCAAAATCGATTTAAAACATTTCCAACGTTCTCAACCAGGGGTACAAAAGTTAGGGGTTTTAAACAAGGGCTGTAAGCGAACGCGCCCCACGACTTGACCACAGCTTCAGCACATCCCTTCCGCCAAAGCACCAGCTATTTCTCCACCTTCATTGCGCCCCGCTCAACAGCCCGTCGTACTAGTAGCTGTTGCACCAGCAAGTACTACTAGTTTCTTGCGATCAATGTTTGAGGTTTCCCTGTTCGTAACCGGATATACGCGCCCTTATTGTGTGTTCTTCCTCTCGATATGCCTTTTATAACAAGCGACGCACTAATGATGATGCGACCGCTTTTGCTCCCGTGGTTTGCTCTGGCGGCGCTGCCGATTGGGCCAAAATCCCACCCCCAGGTTACCCACAGCTTACCCCGAGGGGGGATACCCCGGGGTGTCAGATTTATATGACTTAGCTGCTGTAGGCTATAGTGGGGTAGCACATATGGGGTACAGCTTTCTAGGGTTTGTACTTGTACCCAACTTTCCCTTAGTCTTTTCATTCCTCGTTCATTTTCACATGGTATAGAGCAGGTTCCCCTGTGGGAACTGTTCCTAGGGCCCACCAACTTTTTTTTTTCCTGCCCGGAGCGCGCTCAGCCTCTGCCCGAGTCGCGCTCCCCTCTCACGGCCCCGTCACGCCGCCCTTACGACCCCGTCGCGCCGCCTCAGCGGCCCCGTCGCGTCGCGCCTCCCTAGCGGCCCCGTCGCGTCGCCCTTGCGACCCCGTCGCGCCGCCCTCGCGGTCCCGTCGCGTCGCGCCGCCCTCGCGGCCCTTTCGCGCCGCCCTCGCGGCCTCCTCGAGCCGCCCTCGCGACCCCTCCACGCCGCCCTCGCGGCCCCGTCGCCTACCCTTGCGGCCCCGGCGCCGCCCTTCCCGGCCCCGGCGCCGCCCTTCCCGGCCCCGGCGCCGCCCTTCCCGGCCCCGGCGCCGCCTCTGCTGGCCCCGTCGCCCCACCCTTGCGACCCCGCGGCCCCACCCTTAAGGCGCCGGTCGCCACCCTTCGTGGCCCCGCCGCCGCCCTCAGCGGCCTCGTCGCCGCCCCACCCGGCCCCGCCGCCGTCCCCACGCGGCCCCGCCGTCACCACCGAGCCGCCGGCGCCGCTGAGCCGCCGATCTACCGAGCCGCCGCTGCTGCCGAGCCGCCCGAGCCACCCGAGCCGCCCGAGCCGCCGAGCCACCTGAGCCGCCCGAGCCGCCGAGTCGCCGAGCCGCCGAGCTCCAGTTGCTGCCGAGCCGCCGTGCCGCCGAGCCGCCCGAGCCGCCCGAGCCGCCGAGTCGCCGAGCCGCCGAGCTGCAGTTGCTGCCGAGCCGCCGAGCTGCCGAGCCGCCCGAGCCACCCTGCCCGGTAAGAGCGGCACCTCTACCACTGCGCTGCCCTTACCCTACTGCTCCAGCTGCTAGTCTACTGCTGTCATGGCTACCCCCAGTGTCCTCGCTTTTGACGCTGAGGGTCGGGCCATTGACTTTGACGTCTGGGTAGATGACCTGCAGCTTTTCCTACAGTGCGATAGGCAGACGGTCTCTCTCTCTTTGACCTCACTTCTGGTGCCTCTTCTGCCCCTGCTGCTGATGCTGACGCCACTGTTCGCTCACAGTGGGCCACACGCAACGCTGCTGCCCGTCTTGCTGTGCGCCGCCACTTGCCTACCGCTGAGCGTGCACACTTTAGTCAGTACAAGAGTGCTAAGACCTTGTACGACGCTGTAGTTGCACGCTACTCTTCCCCTGCCACTGCTGCACTTAGCCGCCTCATCCTGCCGTACCTCTTCCCTGACCTCGCCGCTTTTCCCACAGTCGCTGACCTCATTACGCACCTGCGCACTAGTGACACTCGCTACCGCGCTGCCCTTCCTCCTGAGTTCTGCGCCAATAACCCCCCCCCTATGTACATCACCCTCTACTACGTAGTCACCCGGCTCCCTGACACCCTTCGCCCGGTCAGGGACCACTTTCTCTCTGTTTGCCCCACCACCCTCACCGTTGATCTCCTCGAGGAGCGCCTCCTAGCAGCAAAGAAGAGCATAGTCGCTGTAGGAGCCTCTCGTGGTGACCCTCGTGCCCCTGTCTTTGAGGGGTGCTCCCCCTCTCCTCTCTTGCCCTCTGTTGCCTCTGCTGCTGCGGCCGACCTCGTTGGTCTTGAGTCGGTCGGTGCGGCGTCTGCCCCTAGCGGGAGACGCCGCACTGGCAAGGGCAAGGGGGGCAGGGGCGCTGGAGGAGCTAGCGGGGGCGGTGGAGGCGGCGGTGGAGGCGGCGGAGGGGGTGGGGGTGGCGGTGGGGGTGGTGGCGGGGGTGGGGGCGTCGGTGGCGGCAGTGGAGGCGGAGGCGGCGGCGGCGGTGGCGGTGGGAGCGGAGGTGGCGGAGGTGGCGGCGGTGGAGGAGGCGGCGGCGGAGGAGGTGGAGCTGGTCGGGGTGGCGCTGCGCAGAGGGTCGGCTCCGGTGGTGGTCAGCGCCAGCAGCAGCAGCAGCAGCAGCAGCAGCAGCAGCGCACTCGTGAGATCCCCCCCCCTCAGCAGCTTCGTGAGTGGTACGCTGCACGCCAGCGGGGTGGGGGTACTGGTCCGTGCACCTACGTCCTACGCACCGGCGACCGCGCGGGTGAGCCGTGCGGAGGTGTGCACTCCACCCAGTGCTGCTTTGGCCGCCTGACGGACGCTTGGCGTCACCAGTTCCCTGAGGCCACTGAGATCCCTCGCTGGGGTGAGCTGTCTAGGGCGGGAGTAGCTATCTTTGACTTTGACTTTGATGCTATTCTTGCTGCCATGTATGCTGTGACTATTACCGAACCGCAAACGGCCAACGTACACAAGGAGATCCCCATCTGGCGAAGGGCCGAGTCAGGCGGTGGTAGGGACGACTGTGGCTGCGGGTAGAAAAACGGTCGGCGCGGCACAATACCCGTACCGTCAGCAGATCCAGTACCTCCAGCACTAGCACCTCCAGTGCCAGCAGCTCCAGCAGCTCCAGCACCTCCAGTACCTCCAACTTCAGCGCCTCCAGCACCAGCAGCACCTCCAGCACCTCCAGCACCAGCAGCACCAGCACCTCCAGCTCCGGCAGCTCCAGCACCTCCAGCACCTCCAGTACCTCCAGCTCCAGCACCTCCAGGACCAGCAGCTCTAGCACCTCCAGCACCAGCAGCACCAGCACCTCCAGCTCCGGCAGCTCCAGCACCTCTAGTATGAGCACCTCCAGGACCAGCAGCTCCAGCACCTCCAGCACCTCCAGTACCTCCAGCTCCAGCACCTCCAGCACCCGCAGCACCTCCAGCACCTCCAGCACCAGCAGCACCAGCACCTCCAGCTCCGGCAGCTCCAGC